ATAAGCAGAATGGCTCTTGAGATTCAGATCAATTATCGCACCTCAGTTGTGCTTGAGTTTGTAGCTTATAGCGCTATATGTCTCCCTAGGGATGGTTCTATGCACTTGACATACTGATGACTGACATTTGGTATTTTGATGTAATGAGCAATCTAGCTCGGTGCGTATCTCCTTATGTGAATTTTATGTGTGGATCGGGTAGCATGCCGCCATGGGTATGTTATTTGGATCGGGTTGCGCGTTGCAACAGTGTGATGTTGAGTACAGTTCCCCGTATCTGTTTTTTTTTTGTGTGTTTTGTTTCCTATTTTTTTGAGAAAAGCTCATGTTAGCTGTGTGCCCGCATCGCATGTATGATTCGTGAGCGGGGTGTCTGTTCAATTATGTTGACCGCGTCGCATGTATGATTCGCGAGTGGGGTAATTGGATTTCCTTTTCAGAGTTCGTTTTCCTTTTGTATCGCGTTCGAATTGGTAGCCTATTAACGCATTGTGGCATCATATGAGACTTTTGGTCATGTCTAGGTGGCTTATTGCCTGAGCAGTTCGTACTGGGTGATATGAGATGATTGGATTTAGGATCAGCGCAATCTGATTATATGAAGTATATTACGGAGCTAAGACCATTATTTGGTTCAGAATGAGCTGATGGCTCTTATCAGAAGTATAGACCCAATGATTTGTCGATTCGGTAGTTGATTATGAATTTCTACACATCTCTTCCATCGTGGCGGTATTGTAAGAGTTGGAGCAAGACCTATGTATGTCATGAGGTGTAATGGGAGCATCAGATTCATGGAATTTCGACTAAATGGATCAGAGAATGTTATTATGGCCCTGTGAGTAAAGTGGTGTAAGGTGTGAATTCAGCTAAGGTATGTAGTCATATTTTGGTGCTGCGTGTAGCTATTGATATGGTGAACGTATGTTGGAACATGCCTGACAAAGAATTCCGGATATTGGAATTGGGCTCTAAGGCTTATTTGCTTAAGTGAAAAAGGATATCTTCAGATTGATCGAGCTAGGGTGCTCAATTGAGTTGTGGTAGCACGGGTAGGTGCACGAGGTGTTAAACAGTGATTTCGGACAACTTCGCTGTAGTTCTTAGCACGTTCGAGGACGAACGCATGTTTAAGTGAGAGAGAATGTAATGACCCGACCGGTAGTTTTGAGCTCTAGCGCGTCGTTCAACAGTTTGAGGCCATGAGCAGCTTCACTTCAGGTATTATGACTTGTACGCATGGTCGGAATTGAATTCTGGGAAGTTCGGAGTTGATTTGGAAAGAGAATTCTTATTTCGAAAGCTTTAAGTTGAAAGAATTAGCTAAGATTGGATTTTTGAGGAAACAACCTCAGAATCGGGATTCAAAGGTTCCAGCAGGTTCGTATGATGATTTCGGACTTGGGCGTATGCCCGGATTGGGTTTTGGATGACCCGGGAGTGTTTTGGCGCCTATTGTGGAAGTTAGCATTTTGGAAGAAATTTCATAAGTTTGGGTTGAAGTGTATTTTAGTGTTATCGATGTCCGTTTGGGATTCCGAGTCTGGGAGTAGCTCCGTATGGTGATTCTGGAGTTGGGAGCGCGATCGGAAGTGAATTCGGAGGTCCGTAGATCATTTTGAAGTCATTTGGGTAAAGATAGAAATTTGAAGGTTTTTGAGAAGTTTGACCGGAAACAGACTTTTTGATATCGGGGTCGGATTCCGATTCCGGAAGTTGGAGTAGGTCCGTAATATCAAATATGACTTGTGTGCAAAATTTGAGGTCAATTGGGCGTGATTTGACAGGTTTCAGCATCGAATGTAGAAGTTTGAAATTTCAATGTTCATAAAGCTTGAATTGGAGTGTGATTCATAGTTTTAGAGTTGTTTGATATGATTTGAGGCCTCGAGCAAGTCCATAATGTATTTTGGGACTGGTTGGCATGATTGGTTGGGGTCCCGGGGGACTTCGGGTGGATTCCGGGTGGTTAACGGATCGAATTAAAACTTGGAGGAAGAGCTGAAGTTGCTGGTTGCTGGTATAACCGCACCTGCGGCCCAAGTCTCGCAGGTGCGGAGTTGCAGAAGCGGCCGAAGGGGCGCAAATGCGGTAATGAAGGGTGAAGGCTGGGACCGCAGATGCGGTCAGGTCACTGCAGAAGTGGGACCGCACCTGTGGAAGAAGGAGGAACGTAGAAGCGAAAATGGGCTGGGAGCCCCGGACCACAGAAGCGGCATTTGGTCCGCACCTGCGGGACCGCAGAAGCGGCCAAGAGACCGCAGGTGCGAAAGGACTGGAGTCAGTGAGGTTTCTTTAAAAATCAAGTTTTGGTTCATTTCCACCCATTTTCACTTCAGGTTGGACGATTTGGAACTTTTGGAAGAGAGATTTTCTTCATCTATATCAAGGTATGTTGTTTCCACTCATTAGACGTTAAATACATGATTTCGCTTCGGATTTGATCATGAAAATTGGTAGAAACTTGGGGTTTGAGGGAAAACCTAGAAAATTGATATTCTTGGAATTTGACCGCAATTTTGGGTATGAAATTTAGAGTAAATTATATATTTGAGTTCGTGAGGTTATGGGTAAACCTATCCTTCAAAAAATTTTGGAGTCCGAGCACGTGGGCCCGAGGGTATTTTTGTTAACTTTTCGATCGGAGTTAGGAATTGTTATAAATTGGATTGTAATGAGTAATTGAACATATATTAATGGATTTGCATAATTATTGGCTAGTTTTGGTAGCATTGTGCATCGATTCGAGTCTTCAAAAGAGCGTGGAATGCCGGTTATGGATCTTCTGAGCGAGGTGAGTCTCCTTTCTAATCTTGTAAGAGGGAATTGTCCCCATGGGTGAGTTAATTGGTTATGTGCTCCTATTTGTGGGGGTTACGTATGCACAAGGTGACGAGAGTCCGTGCGTAGCTACTATTATGCTATTGTCCGGGTAGTCTAGGACCCAAAAGCATGCTGTACTTGGAAATATTTGTAATCCTATTGATGGTTTGACTTGCTTAAATTCTATCGAATTGGTAAATGAATTTCTAAAAGGATTAAACTTATTTTTTCTTAAATCGTTTTAAAAAAGGAGGATTTGGATTTTCCTTAGATAGTTGTTCCCTAATGAAGTCTAGATTAACTATTTGAATATGTGATTCTATGTGTACCTGTGTCGCATGTATGATTCGCGAGCAGGGTGTTTGTTTATTTTATGTTGACCGCGTCGCATGGAGGATTCGCGTGCGAGGTAATAGATGCATCTATGGTTCGCGTCGTTCGACCCTCGGCAGTGCACATTTTACATTTCTGTTGGATCGGGCCGTACGACCTCGGCATGATTTGCGTATGCTTGTATTGCTTGCCTTGAAACTTATTGAAGTTGTTATTGCCTCTTCCCGGCTTAAGAATATATGTATAAATTATGAAAAGGAATTTGAAAATTTCTTATAAAAGAAAGAATTATTTACTTGCTTCAACCTATCGAATTACAATCATGTTTATAAAAATCCACGATTTAATATATTATTGATATAACATTATTGGACCACTAGTAAGTGTCGAAGTCGACCTCTCGTCTCTACTTCTTCGAGATTAGACGGGATACTCATTGGGTACACGTTATTTTCGTACTCATACTACACTTCTGTGCATTTTTTGTTGCACAGACACATGCATCTCTAGTGGCCTAGTGAACGTAGCAGCATGGTTGATTCGGAGACTTAGGTGAGCTACATTTCCCGAGACGACCTGTAGCCAGCAAGTCTCTTTCAGATTACTGTATTTATTTTTCGTCCAATATTGTATTCCGGACGGTTTTTGTATTACATTATTTCTTAGAAATTGCTCATGCACTTGTGATACTGAGTTCTGAGATGTCTATGGGTTTATTCAGATATTTTAAAAGTTGTTAAATATTTCATTATTTAATCAGAGGAATTTACTATGTACTGTTTAAACGTATAAAAGAAGTGATTTCGGAAATATTTAAAACGAGAATTTAATTAAGTATTTTGGTTGGCTTGCCTGACAGCGGTGTCCGGCGCCATTACAACCCTTAGTGGATTTTGGGCCGTGACAAGGTAAGTGCTCAAGGCAGAGTCTCGTGCTGATAACATGTTATAAAATAAAGATTGTAAATGCAATAAACGGAAGACAAGTATAGAGAGAGATTGATATTATTCAACTTCAAACTGATGTTCATAATAAACTGAAAATTCCTCTATTTATAGAAGAAAGGAAGTAGTTGCGAGTTTCAGGAAGCAGCTACAAGGCTTTTCAGGAAGCAGCTGCGAAGCTTTTCTTGAGCTACTTGTAAGCTGTCTGCATGAGCTGCTTGCAACCTGCCTGTTTAATAAGAAGCTGTTAATCATTTCATTGAGTTGCTTGCAACCTGCCTGCATCAGTTGGTTGTAGATAAACTTTAATGGATTACTAAATGGATAATACAGATTATTAAATGAACATCTAATATAATATTTTCATAACAGTTAAAACATTTTCCCCCAATAAACTGCGAAAAAGGAAAAAATAATGATATTTTGGATCCCGATTATTTGCACCACATTGCCTTTCTTAAGGACACTCCAATTTTGTCCCCGGATAGCCTAGCAGGTTAATTTTTATCTATAAAAATGGTTGAATATAATTTTTTTTCCGGACTACTAAAGAAGGTCATTTTGTGCATTTCATTGAAACTTTAGACTTTGTTAGAGACCAAATTTAGACCTTGAATTGCATTCAACCTGACTTCATATTCGGATATCTGAAATTTAAAATTTCAGGCCAAACTCTAATTTTTTTTGTAGTTTTCGGTCATTTTTTCTTGAAATAGGGGTCCTAAAAAGGGTTATTTGTGCACCTTCTTGTTTATGGCCCACTTGTAGTCGGTCCAAGAAGTAGTACTATGAGCCCATGTCTTGGTAGGCCCAATTCACAGACCCGTGAGTCCAGTAGGACAAAAAAGTATATTACGACGCCGTTGATAAACTCTGGAAGTAGCTACCATCCATCCACGTGTTCCCCTGCTTCAGTGATCTCTTGTCTTTGCTTTGCTCGTCTTCTTTAATTACGATTTAATCTTTTCGCCTTCAATTAATCGTCTCTCTAGATTCACTAGACTAGATTCCCCATTCTTAGCCTGTAATTCTTATTATCGTCTCGTCATTACTGATTCCAGTTAAGCAGTTGCAGTGTTTGAATTTTCATCAGGTACATATTTTGTTTTCTTTTTCCCCTTCAATGTCTCCGTTTCTTCGCTGTTAATTGTTTGTAAATCGTTGTTGTTTGTTCTTTCAGTAGCTTATTACGCTTTCCTGTATCTTCTTGTAGTCTCTTTGCATATTTTCTTGGATTTTTGCATCATATTTTTCATGCCCCCAGTTGCTATTCAACAACTTAATGACATACTAAGTTGGAAATGTCTTCGTTTACTTTACTTTTGAATTGGGTTTGTAAAATGATGGGCAGAAGTTTGCGTCATAATGGGTTTGCAGCTGGTCTACAACTGGAAAAAAGGGTAGCTTTAGAAATTGAATGTTAGTTTCTTGGGTGTTAGTTAATTGTAATCAATCTTGTTCTGTTCTTTCCATTACTTATTACGCTTTTCTGCATCTTCTGTAGTGTTTTTTGGATTACTGGATCATATATTCTTGTTCTTGGATGAACTTAACCTCAGTTGCTATTCAACAATTTGATGGCATACTTAGTTGAAGATTCTTTGTTTACCTTATTCCATTTATCTCAGGCTAACTTTAGTGGTTCATTTCTGATTTGGGTTTCTAAATTGGTGGCAGAGCATTTTCTCGAGTTTTCAGCGGGTTACAAGTGGAAATTAGGGTAATCTTTTAGAATGTAACTAGTTGTTGAGGCTGTTCCAATCATGGAGAATCCATTGGAGAATCTTGGGTCAAAACACCTAATAAAGAAGCATGAATTTGTGAGGATCATTATTCAGTGTCTCTATTCTTTAGGCTACAGAAAGTCTGCTGTTTCTTTGGAATCAGAATCTGGGATTGCCTACAAATCTGTTGAACTTAAGTCCCTTGAGTCGCATATTCTTGATGCTAATTGGGATGCGTGTATTGACCGCCTTAATAGACTTAATGGCTTGACCAATGAGACAAGAGTGCCGGCTTTGTTTCTTGTTCTCAAACAGTGCTTATCAGAGTATTTGAATCGTGGGGACGACTCTTCAGCTTTGGAAATCTTACAGAAACAGATATCTGGTTTACAAGTGGAGAAAGAGAAGGTTCATAAGCTTGCTTTTGGATTTCTCTCCTTGAAGGAGTTGGGGTTGGGTAAGGCAGATCTTGATGTTATTTCTAATTTGCGAAATTTTTTGCTGATGGAACTTGAAAAAGTACTGCCGCCACCCATTACATTGCCCGAACGAAGATTAGAGTACTTGGTTGAAATGGCTGTATGGTCGCAGATAGATAACTGTGTGTATCATAATTCAGTTGATGCAATTTCACTCTACAAAGATCACCATTGTGATGGAAGTCAGTTTCCAACTAAGACCACTCAGGTGAGCACTGAGAGGACCATGTATTGCCATTGTTTTTGAAGATTGCATCTGATCTTAGAAGTCTAATGTTATCTTAAATTACTTTCATTTTGATCCATTAATTTTTTTGCTCAATAGGATATCAGATTGTCACGCTTATCGACTTACAGTTCAATAGCTTAATTTTCACTTACCATTTTAACCCTGGAAGTAAACTGTCAATAGCTCAAAAGTGGTTCTACTGCTACCTTTTTGCTAATCTTGGAAAAATTGTTTTGCAGAATACCAAAATTGAAAAGGAAAGTAGGACTGTTATATGGGATAATTTCATTAATTCCCAAGTGATACACTAGGATATTTGAACTAGTTTGCCTTACCTTTGGGCTCCTTTCTCTGTTGACCTGAAAGGGCTTGACAGAGGGATAACACAGTGTATCTAAGGTGCAACTTAGCTCGTAATGAATTTCTTTTTCTAGTGTTATAATTTGTCACTTTAGATAAGTTTGGAAAGATCCAAGACTAAAGAAGCCACATTCCCAGCAGTACTGTGTATCCTGAAAAGGCCATTTACTTATTTCATTAATTTGACTATCTTTTGTTGTGAATGTCGGATCATGGTCTGAAATAAGCTTCTGACATATAGGCAAATTTGTAGAATGCTAGTAGCCTCGCAATTCTATGGCAAATATTGCTTTATGATTTGCTAATGATCTAGTCACAATGAAATTGCAAATGCTATTAATGGTTTTCTATTATAGTTTTTTTTTTTTTTTTTTAAATTT